TATCAGGTATGATTCGACACCTGTGCATTCGGAATTGTGGAAATTATACTGCTATCCCTACGACGAACAGGAAGGAACAAAGAAAACTATAAAAACGGAAGTTTCGAAGTTGTGTAGTTATCAGTGATGATTCGATGATTATGAACAATAAATAAATTGTGTTCGAAACGTCAATATCCATTTAATCATCCTGTTTCATACTGTTTGATATATTTAATAAACAATTTAATATGAGACTGCATACTGTTACTGTACATAAGTTTTACACATCTATTAATAAGTGAAGTGGTCAGCTCATCGAAATCAATCAAAATGCTGATTTATGTTTGAAACTATTTGTATCTGTGAATTGATTTCACATTTGCGTTGTTCATAATCGAAAACCACATTCTAAACAAGTTATGACTACTTGAATTCTTTTTTTTTTTAACGCATGTTTGTGTATTTTAAAGGTCATTTTGTTATGAACTGTGTGTGTGGGAAGTTTCATTTATGAAGTGAACAGCAGCGAGATTGGTAGATAATTGATCCATGTGTGCACACGCATTTCTCTTGTTTGCGTATACGGGTAGGTATACAGACTCTATTATGAATTCAGTTCAGTCGGAAAATAACCTTTAGTGGTGATTATTGAAATGGCTTTTATGAAATAATCAATGAAACGCGTTCATTGTTTCATGAGATTTACAAAATGACAGTTTGATAATGATATCATGTTATTTCGGTAATCATACATTAGTGTATATACACATATATACAGCTACAATTATATACTGTCTGGCTGTATGCATAAAGCACGAAGGACAAGATTCGAATTTTCAACACAAATGTTAAGTCAGTCAGTCGGCCACTTCTTCGACGAGGTCAGGAACTTGGTTCACATGTCGTCAAGAGCACTTCAAACACGCCACCGTAGACTTTGATTGACAACCACTTCCTCTGGTTCCATACTGAAGATCAAATGACAGAGCGAGCAACAAGAAACTATGGTAACAAACCAACAAGCGGGAAACTTTTGCTCAAGAAATATTCTGAAGAAAATGGAGATGGATCGATCATCTGCTGAGGAGACCATCTGGTGACATCCCACACTAGGCCATCATCTGAATGGAATCCGAATGGTCAATGACGAGTTAAGCATTGAACCGAGGGTGAGGTGGAGACGGTTGTGTGATCTGGAGGGAATGAGAGATTATAGGCCACTTTGTGGTCATATGAAGAGGACTACAGAAAATAAGATGTAGGGGAGATGTATTGTTGAAGCCATAATGTGCTTCTCAGAACCCAAGGGAACAAACAATTATTATTTATTATTATTGTCTCCTTTAATTCCTAGAGGAAAATACGGCTTCAGCCTCACGTCTCCATCGCGTTCGGTTCTCTGCCAACATTTTCACCTGGCTCCACGTCTGCCCATATGCTCTTATTTTTTCTTTACATGATCTCCCTTTCTATGTCTCCTCACTCTCCCAAGACCAACTCACCACTTCCCATTCAGGTTCCACTCCAGCGATGGTCTGACTTGTGATGTCACTCATTTGATGGTTTGATTTCTCAGAGTATAGCCAATCCACCTCCATTTCTTCCTGCATATTTTTTGCACAGTCGGTTCCTACTGGGTTAGTTAGCTCGTTCATTGTCAGAGATCCCTGTTGCTGATCTTTTCTGGCTGGCCGCCTGATCTTGAGTAGTATTCAGCGAAGACAGCTGTTGATGAAAGTCTGTAATTTGTTCGAAGTTCTTTCATGACGTGGCGCCAAGTCTCTGATCCCTGTAGTAGGAATGACTTCAAATTAGAGTTGAAAATTCGCATCTTATTTTTCATGCTGAGTAGTGCTGAGTATGGATCTCCACACAGACTTGAGAGAAATGAAAGCTCGCCTTGATTTCCTGATCCTCACTGCTTTGATATCCTCATCAGTTTCGTCTGTAGTTGAAACGATACTTCCCAGGTAGGTGAAGAAGGTTACCAGTCTCATAGATGGTGCGGACGTTCCATGTCCCTACAAATACTTTTTGTTTTGTCGCAAGGACACTCATCGTACTGAAGTTTGTGTAGCAGTTTTGTTTACAGAGTGGGATTGTTAGCCTCAAGCCTAAGAAGGCGGTTGTTACATGACTATATAGTTTACAGAGGAGCAACTTTTTGGGTTGTTCCCCTTAGAATCAGTAAAACAAGGAATAAAGCGATCGGAACAATAACAGCAAAAACAAAACAATCACAAGAGGAAAGGCAGCGGCAACAACGACAAAAACCTTATAAGTAATATCACTGTCAAATGCAGTTAACCAAAATGATATCAAAACCATAAACTCACTAACTTAGGTCAACTTGGGTATGTAAATCCAACAGTATATACAATTATAGATATTAGTTAGTTATAAGTATTATCAGTCAACAAGATTACATCCACAGATTCAGTGTTCGAAGGTAAACGAATTACAGTAAACTCCACAATTTCCTGGTCAGAAACACCAGAAAAATGAGAGTTTTATGTAACTAAGCAAATGTAGCGCAATAAACGAAAACTGAACAAAGAATAATATATATGTATATAATTGAAAGGTTTTCCTAAAGCGTTCGAAAAGTTCACACTACTGTGTGAAATTACCCTGTCTGTCATTTTGAACAGCTCACAGAATATAGATCATCACATTCTGTGTGCGTCTTTTGGCATCAGCGATATAAGTTAGGCTTTCATTTCTGAATTCAGCCATCTTATGGATTCTACCCCTATTGGGAGATATGTTTATCTTTTAAATAATTTATATTGGTCGATTTTGTTTCGTTTATATTTTCAATTTGAACTTAGCTAACATTGGTTAAACTGGTTGCATTTAAACTGTGCCTAACCAACCTTTTTGTTATACATTTTGTTTTTGTTTATATGTAGTCAAGTGTTATACTTCTTTTTTATGCTTTCTGTATTATTTGTTCGCTGAATTTTCAGCCTATAATCCCTACAATATTTTGAGTTATGTTATTTTTATTTCTAGCAAAGTTTGCAAATGTTCGTAAAACTATAAAGCTATTGGACCTCTTGTGGGTCTACGCATTTTATTTTGAATCATTTAGTAACACGTTTTAATTGTCCCAAGTTCATCAGGTTTACTACCATTAGGCAGGTCTTACCAACTTGTGCAACCTGGATTCCAATAGTAGCCGACATTAAACAAATAACATCAGACGGCGTTGAAGTTACCGTACTAGGAGCCGATATATCAATAATGAGGCTAACATCGTGGTCCCCTATGAACAATCAACGGGAAATACAAAATAACTCAGAGGAAATCAGCTGTATTGTTTTACCATAGTTATAAGGAATTCATGGTGTTTAGCTAGAAGTTAAGGTTGTAGCCACAAAACTGAACTCTACCACTTGAGAAATCCACTACAATAACAACTGTTGAATGATTATTTGATTTAAGTTGACAAACTGTGAGACATGTATTCTATACTCGAGCAAAATCATAATCAGTGTTAATTTACTCATTGTCAAGTATTATAATTATTGTTCCCTTAGGTTCTGAACAGAACATTAGGGCTTCAACAATACATCTTCACTTCATCTTATTTTCTGCGATACTCTTCTGATGACCCTTCAATGGCCCATAACCTTTCATTCCCTCCAGACCACACAATCTCCTCCATATCATTCTTGGACCAACGCTTAACTCATCGTTTCCCATTAGGGTCCCACTCGAACCACGGACGTTACCGGGTGTCACCAGACAGTCTCATTGGTATGCAACAGATATGCAGGAAAAGATGGAAGTGGACTGGCCATACTCTGAGAAAATTAGCAAGTGACATCACATGACAGGTCACTGCTCAATTGGAACCTGAATAGGAAGCGGCGAGTTGGTCTTCCGCAAGTGACATGGGTGACATAGAGGAGCTGATGTGAAGAGGAGATGAAAGCATGTGGACAGACATGGAGGCAGGTGAAAACGTTGGCAGACAATTGAACGCATTGGAAACGTGCGGCTGAAACCCTATGTTCCTCTAGGAACCCAAGGGAACAACAATAATAAATAATAACTGTTTGTTCCCTTAGGTTCCTAGCTGAATATTAGGGCTTCAAAAATACATCTCCACTTCATCTGCGGCCCTCTTCGGCTGACTCCACGATGGCCCATAATCTTTGATTCTTTCCAGATCACACAATTTCCTCCATATCACTCTCGAACCAAAAATTAACTCATCATTTTCTATTCGGGTTCAACTCAGGCGATGGCCTGACGCAGGATGTCATCAGACGGTCTCCTTAGCGTATGACCGATCCATCTACATTTTCTTCGGAATATTTGTCGAGCGAAAGGTTCCCACCAGTTGGTTCGTTTCCATAGTTTCGTATTGTTAATTCTGCCTGGCCAGCTGTCCATTTCATCTTTGGAATTGAATCAGCGAAGGCGGGTGTTGGTAAAAGTCTACGGTGGCGTGTTTGAAGTGCTCTTGATGACGTATGAGCCAAGTTTTTGTCCTATACTGAAGAAGTGGCCGACTGACTGACTGACTTAACATTTGTGTTGAAGATTCAAGTATTGTTCCTTATCCTGAGTACAGAAGATTTCGAACTCGATTTCACAGTGAAGTTGTATGTTGTCTTTCTGATTGTAGCTTTGAGATCTTCATCTGAGCTGTCGCCTGTGGTTGAAATAATGCCACCTGAACAGATAAGTGGAGGGAGTAATCTCTTTCAAATTTCTTCCGTTTATAGCGACTGGTGCTCTTTGTTATTGGTTGGTTATCTTCATCAACCTCCTTCTTCTTTATGTTCATTTTGAAGTTTTGTCTTCCTGACTGCTTTTACTGTCGACTTTTTGGTGAAATGTACCAATTTTGGGTAACACTCATTTCAGTTGTGCTCAATTCTTTAATAATGAATGTCTTTTAGAAAGTGATTGTTGACCTAAATTCTATTGTGTATTTCTTCGATATCACCTGCATTTATTGTCGTTTATATTTCTCTTGTTTTCTAATCCCGTGAATGTGATAGACATCTCAACCAGTAAGAACTGGATTTCTAATGTGGAGTCATTTCGTCAGTAACTCATGGTCTGCTAAACCATCCATACGATTGCCCAAATCATCGGTGGAATATCGATCTATCAACAGAAATAGTGAAAAGCGGAAAGAAACGCTGCGTGAAATCCATCTTGTAGACTCTCTCGATTCAAATTCTTCTGCAAATGATGTATCAAGTCAAAATGGTCCTAGTGAAGGAGAATCTCAACAGGCTTCTTTTTCATCATCATCTAATGTTAGCCAACCAATGGAATCTGTTAACCTTGAGTCATCTGTTAATTCTAAGTCGTCGACATCATCATCAGCGTGCCTTACACGTTTATTTTGTGTCCTACAAACGGATACTTCTTTCTCATTTTATGCTGCACGTGCTGATACGCGTGCAGTGAATAAAATAACTGTCATTGGTTTACGACTCTTTTATTTGGATGAAGATTCGCCTAACAAACCATCAGATGACGTCAATATCTCAGCAAATCAATCCCTACCATGTGGCAAATCTCATAGTTTCGATAATTCATCGCCATTATTGATGAATACAGAAGCTTTAGTGGATCCTGTTAAATTATCAAAAGGTGACTGTCCAAATTTCTCTCGTCAAGGTAATCCAATCTACAGAAATTTTAAACCTCCTCCACATGCTCGTAATATTTTAGGACATAATACCTCTGTCGAGTCTTCTAATCTTTCACTTATTGCCACCTTATCAAAATCACTGACTCATACTCATGTAAAATCTCTATCAGAGCTTGCATTATCTAGTAGACTGTCAAATCGATCCACACAATCTTGTCGAGAACGATTATCTACAGAAAATCATGAAAATTCTTCACAAAAGACATCAGAAAATCAAGATATTGCTGCTAATGGTACGTTAACGGATAAAGATATTGTAAAGCATTTGGATTCAGTCAGTCCTGAGATCTTAAGTCTTCTACGTAACAATTTGGGTTTTCTTTTACTACCATTAAATACTGACCGGCCAGCTCATTACTTCGAGGCAGCAACAGTTGAAATTAGAACTCAGTAAGTTAAATTTTTGATTTGTGACTAAAACTTTTATTCTTTTAAAGTGGTTGGGTTCGTTTGCGTATATTTACGTAGTCAGATCACGTCTGAGGATAGGACTCTGTCATTTTGAAGAGATTTTTCATATACCAGTATACGGATGCCAGTTGATGCCGTCTCTGGCGTAAAAGGGGCGAGTGTACTGCACAGCAGTGTGCTCCGTCCTCCTTTATGGCTGTGAGACCTGACCATTGAGAGTGGAAGACATGAAAAGCTTGGCTAGCTGTCTTTGATCATAGGTGTCTGCGTTCTATCTCCCGTGTGAAGTGGTATAATACGGTTAGGAATATTGAGGTTAACCTTAGGTCAAGTGCTGGGTAAGGAAGGAGGGGAAATTAATCGACGAGGCTGTGAAGCTACATCTGTTGAGATGGTTAGGACATGTGGTACGCATGCATCCCTAGCCATCGATCACCTTCCTCGACAATGGGCAATGTTAGCTGACATAGAGTCAGGTTGGAAAATAGCTAGCTAGCGGCGGTGAAACCGAAACATGGCACCAGTCAATGAAATTCACAACAGTTAGTTTAAGCCAGCCAGTCACGTAGGGAGGTGTAGACTTTGTGGTTTGGGTCCTCAGGACGACAAAAACAAATGAAGACTGAAGAAAACTGGTGATATGTTTCAAAATCGTTCTTAGTGGCTGGCACAGATGCATCCACTCCTTGTGACTTATAATACCTAATAAAACTCTCTTGTTCTTCCATATTACTATTCTTTTTGCCTTATATCCCTGTCTACTGTCTCTATTTTTCATTTCTTCTGCTTTTTTCTCTTGCTTTGTGTGCTACATGTAGTGTGGCGGCTTGAAATGCTACACATCGGTGCGAAGTTCTATTTCGAAAACAGACAAACATACCAGGTTATGAGCTGCATTTATCACGTAATGTCTGGTCACACTTCTCAGTTGTTTAAGTTGAAGTAGGTGGAGAGGGGTGACGAACACGGTTCCCACTGACCGATAACCGAGTGATCAAATAAACGAGACATTTCTCCACTTACACCAGAACAATTTCTATGCTTTGATGATGTTATAGTCTGTTTAGAGAATTATTGGTCAATAGCAAACGAATAGTGACAAATTTTGGTTTTTCGTTTGCACTGAAGTTGTTAATATATTTTTGTCTTTGTCATGTGTTTCTAAGGTATTTCGATTATGTTGGTCTGCGAATCGTTACAACTTTAATAATAATAATGATAAATACATTACTATAAATAATAATAATTATACAGAATGGAATTTTCAACGTTTTCATACGTATTCCAACGATTCAGCTACTTTTATGAATATGCAAATACATAAAATTAAAAATAATAATGAAACCACAAAAAGTTGAAGGTTATAGGAAAGAGAATGATTTATAGTTAGATAATATCGTAGATAATACAGGTAATAATAACATTAATAATAATAACCTTTGCTTATACTTTACAGTTCAGCTAATGACTGAAGAGGTTTATGAGTTCTTCTCTGAGATTCGTCTCCGTTTTCACACAAAACACGTATTAAATGTGGTATGGTAGGATTTGTATATTTACTAGCTGTAAGAGCATAAGTCCTCATGAAATTTCTCCTGCTTTCAGTCCCGAAGCTATACGAGGAAAAGCGTGCGAATAAAGAGGATGTTCGGTATCAGTCAACATACTTCTGAGAGTTGATTTTTAAGGATTTCATTTGTTTTTCAAGTTTAACCATGGATTAATATCATTTAGAGAACCAGTGAAAACCAGGAAGTACTGCACAGCTGTTTCATCCTAGTTCGAGCCTCATCAGCAGTACGCATGCACCAGTGAGTTCTATCCAGTCGGGAGTGAGTATGGAGTTACCGCCGACGACATTGGTTGGTGGCTGCGTTGTAAATCAAGAATTCGTAGATGTTAGAATTCATGGGACATTGAATCTGGTCCTAGTGGCTGAGTAGTATACGAGCTTGCCTTCTAACCGGAAAGTTCTGGGTTCGAACCATGTTGGTGGGTGCGTACTGACGATGAGTCCCAAACTAGGACGAAACAGATGTTCAGGACTCCTTGCTGGTTTTCAATAGTTCTCTGACTGATATCAATTCGTGGTCAAACTTGGAAAAGATAACTATAGACAACGCCTCGTAAAAATTCCAATGCCTATTGACAATAATGTCAGTTAGTTGAATCAGAGGTACACCACTAACCCTACTTACAGCTTTCATTGTTCTATGATATAATATGATATAGTCTTTTTTGAGAAGTCAAGGGAAGAATAAGGGCGAACAATATAGAATAATGGGCAGAATACATGAATTAACAATAAATTGTAAGAGAGGACGTTGAATTATGGTGCCAGGAAGTCTCAGCTTTTTTATATAACAAGTCAAGCGAAAAATTCTCCTGGAAATCAACAGGATATGAGACGACCAACAGAGATTCGATGAGAAACTTATGCGGAAATGACAGATATTCGGTTTGACCCCTTGCTCTCACACAGTACCGTCCTTTTCGTATCTGAGACCTAAGTCAACAATGTGATATTTAAATGGGTTCTGTTTAGGACCATTTAGGTGAGACCACTTATTACCTTCAGATAAGAATCTATTCATATGAAAACAATCCAGTGTAGAAACTACTGAGACAGAAATGTTTAGATCATTGGCATATTTGAAGAAGTTAGCTTCGGAAGAATACAGAAGATCATACAAAATGGAAGATAAAAGGAATGGGCAGAGTACAGCTCCTTGAAGCACAACAGTTTCCGTTAGCAAAGAAGTAGAGAGCTTTCCATTCAAAACACTTTGCTGTTTTTTACTCGAAAAATAAGAAGACAGCGACCTTGTGACCCAGGATTCAGTGTTTCCTGAAATCAGCTTGCCTAGTAAAAAAGCCCTAGGAATAGAGTCAAAAGCAGCAGTGTAGTCTAAAAAAGAGGCCCGTACAAGCTTTGCCCCCTCATCAAGACTTGAAACAATATTGTGGTGTACAACAGAAGCATCTGAAGTGCTTCTACCGCATTTGTAAACAAACTGCTTTAGGTCATTAACAGATTTCAAAGAAGGTTTGAGAACATGCAAGAGAAGTTTCTACATAGTTTTCAAAGATAGAGGCGTGACAGCGGTTGGCCTAAGACTTAGATCTGATCCAGAAGGTGATTTTGGTACTCGCACCACCTTTATTTCCATCCAGGTAACAGGTACTGGGGCTGTGAACACTCTACTTAGTGTGTGCAGTGTCTGTCTGTCACCACAATAACTGAAGTCAAATTTTGCCTTGTGATTTGTTGTGTTAAGTAAGTTAATTGGCTCAATCAATAATCCCACTGCTACTCATATTACATTATAGATTAATCTTAACAGTATACAATACATTATAAGGAGTTCTGTAACAAAGTTTTATTACTCGACATCAGCACGTCGAAGAAAAAGTTAACAGAATATTAACATATCAAAATGAAGTATCATGTTGATAGAATTCAATTAGAGATAAACCGTGAACGTATTTTTGCCGCTATTGATTTTTTCTACAATTTCTCTCCCTCATCCAAAATCCCGTAGTCAGCACTTCAAGTTATTTCACAAAATTCAGGTATCGGATCTTCTGAAGGCCACCTTTAACTTATATTTAAAGAAGTGTGGTTATTTCAACTGATGCCTATTTATATAAATTCTACGATGCTGTGTTAATCAGTGAAAACCTCATCAATTAATGTTTATCCTTCGGTGCCCTCCCCTGTCACTTCCATTCAATTGTCTATACATGCGATAAGCAATTTTGTGAAGATAGCTTTGACTGAATCCATAAACTCAAGAATCCTCTACCTTGTACCATTGTTGAGAACATTGTTTAAGAAAGGTAAAACAAAGTATTATGCCGTTTACACTTGACTCGGCTAGAATATGCGAAGGCTGTGTCCCTACTAAATATCATCTAGGTCGACAGACCTCAGTAGAATTTTTTCTGTGCATTATACACAGGGATTTCTTTGTCTGACTACTTCCCAATTCGCTCATTCTGAATTGACCTAAAACAGAAAATTCATTAGTTTTTCGTGACTGTGGACCCGGTCAAACACGGTCTGTTTAAAGTGGTTTTTTGGGGGGGGGGGGGGTTTTGTCCGTCCGTTGTCTATTTACTGTCACCGGATAAATCGATAGATCAAGGTAGCGGCTACCGGTCAGGATTTTGTAGTCATGTTTTGATAGTGTGAATTTGTTCTTTCAAGGCTGGTGTGACCAACAAATCTTTCTCTCTTGAGATACTTCATCCACGAATAATATTGGTTCATTTCATCTTGGGGTTGTTATTCATCTGCTTACAGTCTCTCACATTTACCACAATGATTTATTGTACGATTCTTGAGGGGAGAAAATGAATTAGCTGTTTGGGGATATTAACATTAAAAATAAGATATCACAGCTCTATAAATCAGTGACAGTTACATAACAAGATATAAAATGTAATGTTTGGGGTAATTGAAATCCAACGACAGATTCGTTTCGCATATGTATAAATCGGCTTTCAGTCGCTCTCTCGTTAGCTTGGTTATTTAATTTCACGTCTGTTTCAACGGCTCTGATAATGCACTTTTTTAAGGTCTAACTATCTTGATCTCCGATGTTTAGTTTTAAAATATTATGTAGTTATGAAATCCTATTTAAACTGGCATTTTATTATTATTATTGTATCCTTTAGTTCCTAGAGGAACATAGGGCTTCAGCCACGCACCTCCATTGCCTTCTGTTTTCTGACAACTTTTTCACCCCGCTCCAGGTCTGTCCACATGTTTTCACCTCCTCCTCGCATGACCTCCTCCAAGTCACCCTTGGATGACCAACTCGCCGCCTCCCTTTCGGGTTCCACTCGAGGGCTTGTCTAGTGATGTCACTTGATGGTTTCCTCAGGGTATGGCCAATCCATCTCCATTTATTCCTGTCTATTTGTTTCACAATCGGTTCCTGATTGGTTCGCTCCCAGAGATCCCTGTTGCTGAT